ACCTTAATGGCTTCTGTGATTGGTCAAAACAAGGCCACATGTCAGCTAAGCTGTCATTGGGTAAGCCCGTGCCTCTCTGCTTCTAGGATTGGCTAGAACGCGCCGCCGTGTTCTCAGGGGATAGCGTCATTCGGATGCTGATTGGTGGATTTACATTTAAACGATTGGATGATAACGAAAGACTATGAAATGCAGTTCAGTCTAGAGAGTCATAAGTGACGTAGGGAATAAACTAACCGGTGATTGGTTGGTGGTGTGTTATTTCCGGCTGTCTGTTGGGTCCGTACAGCAGGTGTGGTGCGGTTTGTGTGCACCGACCATCATTAGTTTGTACAGTGCCAGGCAGTGACAGCACGGTGCAACTATCACACCACATATACAGTTCTGGGCGGATATGTTATAATGATAAGTCCTAGAACCTACAGGTCTTATCCATAGGTGATAATACCTAAATGGCGTAACTCATAGCAACCAATGAGAGCCCACCCTACTTCTACTGAGCGCATTCTAATTGGTTGCTACCAGTCATGTGTATACTTTTAAAGTGAATGTAGACCCTAACAACAAACTCGTATTTGCTCCTTTTTCAGCATTGAAAGCATTTATGTTATTTGTTCAATAAGTAAAAAAAGAAAAACGTGTCTTTCTGACAACAATCTAGTGAGCTGATAACTTCTACTGAACTCTCCAGCAATGTTCTCTTACTGGACTACAGAACGCCTCCCCCTGTGTCATGGAGACATAGAAGGAGGTGTTCTAGGTAGAGGTGCACCGAAATAGAAATTTAAAAACCGAAATAGAAAAAATTGTCAGACCGATACCGAAAATGTTTTTATTTTAATTTTTAAAAAAAAATGTACAATATTTTATTTTATTTTTTTATAAACTTTTCAAATGTTTTATATTTATTTATTAATTTTGTATTAAATATTTTTTACTTTACTTTTAGGGGCTTCGGGGAAATATTAGGAGTCTAAACAGATCCATGATATTTCCCTTTTTAAATAGAATGTTATTACACGCTGCCCGGCTTCCTGATTGGCCGGGAAGCCGACTCCATGCTACTTCGTCACCAGGTGACGAGGTAGCATGGAGTTGGCTCTCTGGCCAATCAGGAAGCCAGGCGGTGAGTCATTACTCACCACCCCAGGCTCCTGATTGGCCAGAAAGCCGGATCCATGCTCCCTGGTGTAATTACGCGTCACCCAGCTTCCTGATACTGGAAGTTCCGGTATCGGGATAAGCATTTGGGGAAGTACGAGTATTATTATTATTACACAGGATTTATATAGCGCCAATAGTTTGCACAGCGCTTTACAATATAAGGAACACATTACAATCACAATCCAATTCAAGACAAGATGGTAAGGAGGGACCTGCCCCTGAGGGCTTACAATCTCTGTAAGGGAGGAGGGAAGTGATACATGAGGAGGGAGCTGTGTGGGGATGAATTGTTTGAGAACGTGATGGTTGAGCGGTTAGTTTGAGGTGGGATAGGCTTCCCTGAAGAGATGAGTCTTTAGGGATTGCCTAAAGGCAGTCAAGGTGGGCGACAGACGGACAGGTTGGGGTAAAGAATTCCAGAGGATGGGAGAAACTCTAGAGAAGTCCTGGAGGCGAGCATGGGAGGAGTTGACAAGGGAGCTGGAAAGCAGGAGGTCTTGG